TAATCTTTCAAATCCTTTAAAACTTGACGCTATGATGGGATCTCTTCTTTTAAACACATGTGCAATAAACCCAAACGAGTACCACTCCTTTTTATTCCAGTCGTTTGCTTATATAAAACTTGTTGTAGGCAACAAGTTAACTGTCAGAGAAACTAACTGAAATATATTTCACAAATTGTGTCATATCAAACAATAAGCGTACCTAGATGTTAATCCATTTTTTAGTGTTTTTGTTTTCGTTTCGTTAAAGCACTAATTCTAAATGGAATTCTAGACAATAAATTATATATAAATATATATATATATCACAGCAAAAATTTTATTATGATGCATATAAATTTATGTGCTTAACCTATGTTTACATCATGACCTATATTTGCTATGTTGAATTATTGTATAACTTGTAATGATTGTGATTGTACATTTATATATATATATGTTTTTTCTTCTATTATGTTAAAATCTATGAAAATGGGAAATAAAGTGTAATAATAATAATACACGCATGTTGTGTGACAAGGTTCATAACTGTAGTGTGACTATTTCCAGAATTATTCCCCTTGATCTTGGAATTTATGTTAACAATGTTATTTTTTCTATAACTGATACATAACTATACATAATTGATTTTCTTACTAGTTTTGCCTTCCTTACTGCGTCCAGTATTTCATTAGCCGAGCTTCGCTGCCTCCTCTGACAGCTCTTGATATATAAGTAAAAACAACTACTTCATTTTTTTTTACATCTCAAATATGTCAACAAAACATCATTTTCATCTAAAATATTTCTACTATATTAAAGTTATACACACATTATTACATTTTCCGTGTATGTATAACTCTTTAAGTATTTCCCCTATCTTTGGATATAAAATGTTATTAATTATTAATTTATGATTTTATTTAGACTTTTTTGTGTACAGAAAAGAAACAAACAAAAATTAATAATAAAAAGGAAAAGAAAAAAAAAACAAGAAGAAAAAGATTTACTGACAAATTTAAAGTAAAATTATTTTCCCATATTCTATACCGTCAACTTATTCGCCAGCAGTTTAGAACCGTCCTACAGAAGGCGATAGTCGACAATGCGATAATGCGATGACGACAGTGCAACAATGCGATGACGACAGTGCGATGACGACAGTACGACAATTGGACAGTGCGACAGTACGATGACGACGATACGATAGTGCGATGACAACAATGCAACAGTGCGATGGCGACATTGCGATAACACTATCGCTCTGTCGTCATCGTACTATCGCGTTATCGCATTGTCGCCATCGCACTGTCGCATTGTCGTCATCGCACTGTCGTATTGTCGTCATCGCATTGTCCCAAAATCGCATTGTCGCCCTTTGTATTTTAACGTATAACCACGATGGCCCTAACGGTATTCCGTAGGTAATTGACAGATATGTCGCGTTGTCCGATGAAATGACGATAATCGGAGTACTAGGCCGAGACTGGCTACATAACCGCGTGGTACGGATCCACGTGATCTAAACATGGCGGGACGAACACAATCACGTTTGTTTCACGTCACCGATGTTGACCAATCACGATACGAAGGTGGTAATGGTAACGAGGCAGAAGGCGGGATGGAACAGGACTGAGGTCAAGACCCATGTGTTGAAGTAAACGTAAACATTGTGGCATAGAAAATGAACCATTTGTAAACTACATTCAGTCGTTTGATATCATTAGATTAGTTGAGTCATGGATTGATTGGTGTAGGGAGTACAATAATTTACTTGACAGTAATACGTGTTTTTATGATATACGGAACAAATGTAAAGCTAGTAACAGTTTTCGTAATAGTGGTGGTGTACTTGTTTTGTCAAATCTGCATTAATATTGAACAGTTTTATAACTAGCACATGTATAAATTATATTAATAGGGTAGTTTTATGTTCGAAAAGCTCAATTTTTCATAACATGCAAGATGTTGCATTTTATAAAGCATATGTGTCGCCTGAAGGTTCCAATATTTACAATAGCAGAGTAGAGAAAAATGGGATTAAAAATGATATATTAATACTTAAAAACCTCTACCCTGATGTATATATCTATTTGGCAGATAATTTCAATGCACGTATAAAAAAACATGTTAGATTTCTTCCCTGGTGATAATGTTTATAATATTTATGAACCGAAATTGATTATAATATTGATGATTTCGAGATGAATCGGAATAGCAAAGATTCTGAACGATACATAATGGATATAGTAAATCCCTTATTAAACTTTGTTGTACAACTAGTTTATATATTTTGAATAGTATATTATATTATGACTTTTTGGTACTTATACATGGCTTACTCATAATTGTCATATTGTTGCTTCTGAATTGTTGCCATTTATAACCTTCTTCAATATTGATGTAAAAGAAGACTCAGACCACATTCCTTTAAGAACAAAAACAGAACAGAACAGACATTTTATTTTCTACACTTATACAAAGTACATCGTCTTGTTAACATGAATTGAATAATATATACAACATAATCACATAAATATATGTATGGCGAGTCATTATAATAAATATAAACATAACAATTACAAGCACCAAATTCATGAGAGGATAAACTACAATTGAGAGTTCAAAATTGTATTTCTTAGCTTTAAAGCTTCTTTGATATATTTGCAAACATTTATTAATATTTTTTTTATTTTTAATACACAATAATTCAGTAAATTTAAACATAGATGGTCTGTTATAATAGTAACTTTTATATATTTTTTACGTAAATCTACAAAACTTGAACACACACATATGAAATGATACTCATCCTCTATATCCAAAACATTACAGCACTGACAGTATCTTTGTTCACGAGGAATGTTATTAGTGGCATACCTGCCTGTTTGTATTTTGAGAGGATGAACAGATAGTCTTAATCGACAAAAATACATTCTAAATTTACGTGGTAAAATGTCAAGATAATTTTCGTAACTAAGACACGATTTAAAATGTTTGTAATTACATAAAACAGAACTTCGATCTAGGATACTGACCCATTCTTGTTTATACGTATCAATAACTCTACTTTTAAATTTTTGAAGAAACAATTTAGGATCTATATAATTATCACTATCAAAAATATCAGCAAAACCATAATCACATAACAACTTCTTCACATTTGAGACCCAATTTTTACACCCTCTTTTACAATCAATTACACCTTCTCTAGAATTGTATTTAAAATGATATTATCCGAGTTTTTCAACTTGCACCAAAATTTAATTATTCTAACATAACGGGACACATATAATAAATATAAATACAGCATCCATTGTAGAACGCCCTTTTCGAAAACCGAATTGAGCATCAGAGATATTATTACTTTCACAAAAAGTTTCAATTCTATTATTAAGCACAGTGGTAAATAATTTTGAAAGACAGCTAACTAATGTTATGCCTCTATAATTTTTAACATAATCAGTACTACCCTTCTTATGCAAAGGTATTATAATTCCCTCAGTCCATTTCTCTGGATAAAAACCCGAATTTAAAATAGCATTAAATATATCACACAAATGCGCACCTATTATATCAAAACCTTCTATGAAATATTCATTCATTAAATAATCACTACCTAAAGATTTACCCCTTTTCAATAATTTAACAGCTTTTGAAATTTCCTCTAAAGTTATTGGTTTATCTAATTCTTCAAATGGAGTATTCAAGTCATTAAAAGAATGGCTTTCACAAAAATTTTCCGCATCAATATTTGTACAGTTAAATAAATCACTACTTATGCTCTCAAAATATTCCTTAAATACATGTACAGGGATACCGTTATGTTTTGAACTGGATTTACTCTTAAAATATTTCCAAAATTATTTCGTATGGTGGCATATTTCTGCCACCAGATAACCTGTTAATTAACTAGTTAATTAAGAGGTTAACTACTTACTTAACTAGTTAACCTCTTAATTAACTAGTTAATTATCAGGTTAACTAGTTACGTAACTAGTTAATTTTTTCAATAAAGAAAAGATCATAACGGGAAATAAATGCATGTTTTGCTTGTGCCTGCAACTGCCATCCCTTATTGTCAGCTAAATATTAAGAGGTTAACTAGTTACGTAACTAGTTAACCTGATAATCAACTAGTTAATTAATAGGTTAACTAGTTTTATAAATACTTAACTAGTTAACCTCTCAATAAACTAGTTAATTATCAGGTTAACTAGTTACGCAAATACCTAACTAGTTAACCTAATAATTAACTAGTTAATTATCAGGTTAACTAGTTACGTAACTAGTTAATTATCAGGTTAACTAGCTACGTAACTAGTTAACCTCTTAATTAACTAGTTAAATAATAGGTTACCTAGTTACATAAATACTTAACTAGTTAACCTCTCAATTAACTAGTTAAATATCAGGTTAACTAGTTAGGTATTTGCGTAACTAGTTAGCCTGATAATTAACTAGTTAATTAAGAGGTTAACTAGTTACGTAACTAGTTAACCCGTTATCACTTATCTATAAATAGCATTGTTTTGCTCCATTGAATTGATACAAAGTCCCACTTAAGTCATTGCAGACATTAAAAGGGAATTACATTTGTGTTTGGAGGCGAAATAGAGGTAAATATTTTTAATTTTAACAAATATATAATGATTCTAATGTTTGACATTGATAAAATACATTTACAATAAATATTATTTATAGTACAGTCACAAGTTCATTTTCACTCATAGGATGCTTTGTGAATACGGTTCCTGGTGCAGTAAAACTGCGATCCCTCGAGGTCGCAGGAGACCGAGCCTAAACTACGAACGACCCGATTTTCAATTCTCCGGTATGTTAAGAAATAATATTGAAGTATAGTATGTTAAAATATTCCTGACTGTACACCATTTAAAACATATTTACCACATTTGTTTATCTGTATAACTGCCTCCGTGGTCAAGGGGTTAGAGTCGATGACTTCTAATTCAGTAACCTCTCTGGCATGGGTTCGAACCCTGGGAGATGCTTTGGTAGTTTAGCGCGGAGGAAGGTAGTCTAGTACTGGTGTAACACTCCAGGAACGATGGTTAGGATATTACCCGCCTAAATGACTGAAATACTGTTGGGAAAAGGCGTAAAATGAAACAAACAAACAAACTTGTTCATCTGTATGTCCGCATTCCCCCCTGTCTATCTGTATTTTATTTTTTACTCAGATGCAATCTGATGCTATAACCAGGGAGGAGAGGGTTGCTTTGTACTATCACAGGGGATTCACAATCAAAGAGATTGTTGGTTTTATGACCTTACAACACGACACTATATTGAGTGAACGAACAGTACATAGGATTTTGAGAAGCCAGGGACTATACAGGCGTCAAAACCAAAGCGGGTTACCAGATGTTGTTGAGGCAATTTTACTGGAACTTTCCGGAACCGGACAGAATGCTGGATATCGTCAAATGAGACAGAGGCTTTTGGTACATCATGGTATAGTCGCAACTTGTGAAACTGTGAGGCTTGCACTTAGTGTAATAGACCCAAGTGGTGTAATGCTTAGACAGTCTAAAACACTCAGACGTCGTGTTTATAGAAATGCTGGCCCTAACTTTGCTATACATTTCGATGGATGGGATAAGTTAAAACCTTACGGCGTGTCAGTGCATGGTGGTATTGACGGGTTTTCCCGACGACTGTTGTGGTTGAAATGTTGTAACTCAAACAAAAAGCCTCAGTATATTGGTCACTTTTATTTGGAGTATGTTGAAGAAATTCAAGGCTTGCCGCTGCGCGTGTACGCTGATCGAGGTACAGAAAATGTTATTGTCCGTGATATACAACATGCTTTGCATTCGATGGACCCGCATCAGTATTTGGGGTATAGCAATTTTGTGTATGTGTCGTCCACCAGGAATGTAAGGATAGAACGATTTTGGAGGACATTACGGGACATGTGTGGGAACACATGGATGAATTTTTTTAAGGATATGTGTGACATGGGGATCCTAGATACCACGGATAACCTTCACCTGGAATGTGTTAGATATTGCTATTTTACTCTAATAAGAAAAGATCTCAATGATGTAATGAGTGTGTGGAACTCACATCGGGTTAGGCAATGTCGTTTTGCTGAAAGTCCAGCTGGCAAACCGGACGTTTTGTTTTACCAGCCGGAACTGTACGGTGCTAGGGATTTTAAAGTTCCATTGGCAAATGGTTTGCAAGAAGTCAGAGAAAGGTTTTGTGAGAATCCATCCCAGAATGGTGTATCTGAAGAATTTTTAATTTTAGCCAGGAACGTATTGACAGAGTTCGATATGGAGTACCCTGCTAGAAACAGATTTGAAGCCACGGAAATGTTCATTGCAATAACTGCTTATGCTGACTGCTTGTAAAAATAAAAAGTATTGTAAAGTAGAAAAAGTACTGTATACTGTTGATCTGGAGCTTTTCTCTACATAATTTAAGAGTTGTCTGTGTGTGTTCTTTGTCATTTAACAGTGTGTACATAGGAAGAATTAAAAGAAATAGTAGATCCAATCCAATTTCCAACTAGCTCGACGATGTGTACGCTGTTCATTCGTGATCACGGTGGAACAGCGTACACCATCATGCCAGGAAATACCAGCCAATTTTCCACTACACATTAACCCCTAATTGACCGAGAAGCTAAGGTCAATTTCTCATGTTATCATGTCTTGGGAATTGCTGCATTTTGGTTTGGAAGAATGTATTAAATTTTGCCAAGAAAAACATTAGGAAGTATTAAAGGGACTGTGCCACAGATTGGCACCAAACAAAGTTTTTTTTTCTGAAACGAATCTTAGGACAATTATCCAATAGAATGTGTTAGTTACGCTTTAATATCATAAATGTAATGTAAAATTATGTGTCGGATACCGGGTTCGAACCCGCATCGCCAAAATTGTAGGCCAGCGTCTCACTCACTGCACTACAATTAAAGGCAATTCCTAATTAGGGGAGATAATTAAGCTATACACCTACCTCACGTGATAACACCGACTAGCCAATCACGCATAAGGAATGAATTCTACCTGGTTGACATACCTATCTTTTTAATGGAAAAAAAATACGATAAAATAAGTGTTATACATAATACTTCAATTGTGTTTACTTCATAATGAACACATCATATTCTTGAGCATTGTGAATTAATTTTCGTATAACAGATGCATCTGGCATTGTACGTCTTAATACCGTAATCGGTGTAAGAACATATTTTGCCCCCACCATACGTCCCGATCGTTTCTGTAAAAATTACATAACCCCCGAACAGAAACAGACTATGTACTATTGAAGTTCAAATAAATATGTGAGGTGAACATGTTTAGTCATTTAATGCGTGCACTTCAAGTCTGAGTAATACAGCTGGTAATGCTGCATTTGTTGCTGTTACACATCACTACTGTTTCTGCTATAAACACTGTAACTACCACCGACGCCAACACCACCACCACCGGTATTGTGATGAACCACTGACGCTGCTGTGGATATTGTTGTTGTTGCCATTTATGCAGTTTCAGCTATTACACCTACTACTTTCTATCCAATAACTACTTGTACTGCTGTTAATCTCGCGATAATCCACTATATATAGATGTGGATAAAAGGGCTACGTTTTAGTATCAATGCGTATACCCCTTTATTTTCCTCAGATTTTTGACAACTCCCAAAATAAAGACCCTCCGTTATCATTTTATTTCGTGCACATGAGTCAAAATATTAGTTTAAACATTTAATTTTACAACAATTGTGATAAAAAAAAAACATATTAATTACTGTTGTTGGCACAATTTTAGGCGAAAGTATGATCTTGTTTGGTGGTGGGAGTCGGAGAACGCAGTGATAAACCATATGTCCGGCCCCATCCCAAACTCACATACGCCAACGCCAGGATTCGAACATGGGTCGTCTTGGTGAGAAGCGAGCGCGCTTACCAGTGCACTTACCAGACAACCTACCCGGAAGTGATAAAGTGTGACCCGTGGGCCATTTTTTCTAAAGAATATTGACTCGGTCGTAATTTTATTTACGCAAGCCAAACCCTAATTGCATCTTAAACAACGATACAGTAATCAATTTGTCGAATCTAAGCTAAAGGCGCTATTTCAGTACATTTAGATGTCACGGAGTTAATAAATATAGTAAGTTACATTCGTACTTGATGTTTTCAATCTTTAATGTAATGTTGTCAAGGAGTTTTTTATTTTAAAAAAGACATCAAAGATTTATTACTCAATTAATTTTAAAACTTTAAATAACATGGCACCGACTTATAAATATGACAGAACTGATGACTTTATCCGACAACAAAATATATTTTTGTTTGTTTGTTTGGATTTTCTAGAGTATTTTCGATTTATCTAAAATCTATTAATTACCGATAAAATACAGAAATTTTTATTGGTTAATCTGTTGGGTCATTCTTTAGGTGTTTGTATTTTTCGGGTCACTGATTTAGTTGTATTCCTACGCGTTGTTATAAATTCAGTCTTCTTTTTGCGGTCTTTACAGTTCTTAGACACATTTTGGTTGATACAGATCTTTTTTCGTCAGTCTGTTTATCTAGTTACCATAGGGTTTTACTGTGCCCGTCTTGTACTTAAGAAGTTTTCATTTGTTTGTGGAGCGGTCTACATTTATCACGATGAGTTAGAAAGTTGCAGGGACCAGTTATTTATATATTGCTTTTGACTTGCTTCTTATTAGGAAGGTAACTTTTTATTTGTTTGAATTGAACAATGCCTCAGGAAAGGAAATCAGAAAGGGTTAAAGATAACCCAGACTATAAAGCTTTGCAAGAGGTAAGAGATGTTATAACACCTACTACAGATGTTACGAAAATTTCAACCGCCTCCAAATTAACTCTTACTCCCCCGCCAAAGAACCCGGATAAAAGCGGTGATTTTGATCCAATTGAACTTGAGAACAAAGCTCTCAACGATAAACTTAAAAGTTTGGCAACTGCTGGAAAAGCGTTTGAATGAACAGGAGGAGTTATTTGCTTTACGCAGACAAGTTCACGAACGGGAATTATGCATACAATCTCTAGAAAAATCCGTAGCGACGGTGCAC